TGTGCGCAGCGACCAACTGCTCTTCTGGGTTTCAGCGTGCGCATGCGCGCTGAATAACTGGTCTTCATGTGAAGACCAGCTGCCCAGTATGCATGCACACACCAGAACCCAGAAGAGCAGTTGGTCGCTGCGCACATGCACACCAGCCAGCTGCTCTCGTCCAGGTTCCGGCACTCTGGTGTGCACACGTTCCAGGTTCGGCCCTCAGTGCCAAAAAGATTAGCGGTTACAGTTTTAGAATATGAGGACCGAAATAGAATACCACCACTTTTTTGCTACCATGAGCAGCTTTGCACTCAATGTGGGAGCTTCAAAAGTCCCAATGTATGGGGGTGGCATTTTGTAAGGTGGCCCCACGTAATATTTGAGTTGACTCTCTTCAGAGAAATGTTACGATGGCATGCCCTTCTGAAGCAGGTGAACACTGGCCATGTAACATCCCCAAATCTTGCAAACCCAGGGCCAGTGGCAGAAAATGGTAAGAAAATTACAAACACTGGTGGCCTTCCTCTTTCATGACATAATTCCCTTTCCAAGCTGCCCTCTGGGGAGCTAGGCCTGGCCTGTTCTGGTTAGCTACATGCATGCGAGTTAACTGAGCCTACAAGGCCTCCTGTGAGGGAATTCTAGGGAAATCCTTCCCAAAGGATTTGTACTTGTCCTGGTTTCTCCCAGGACACCTCCAACTGGAAGCCCTCTGTCCCAGGCCCACTACAACTTCTTGGTACCCACCTGGATCCTCCAGGGTTTTTTTGGTCTCTCTGACAGGCCTCAGTCACAGCTCCACTTACGTCTCCTGCTGGGCAACATTTGGTTCTCCAATGCCTATCCAGCAAAGGCCAGCTGCTGCTGGATCATTTAGGCCTCAGCTTTCCTCCTGCTAGGCCAGCTTTGCCCAGCAATACTAAAACAGCACCAGACAACCTTTTGGTAATTAAGGCTGTGCTTAACAATCTTTTCAGGGGCGTCGAAATGCAAAGCCATCAGGATTATGTATGGCCGGTGCTAGAGTTTGAGCCTGATTTCGGAGATTCTTCTCTTCTTTTTAAAGGTGATTTTAAAAAAAATGATTGTGAGGATGGCTGAGTTTGCAGAAATGGCTAAATGGGCTCATTTGATCACAGAGGGAATTATAATCACTTTGATAAAAGACTGGAAATCCTTTATGGATTATTTTGCTGAAAGTGGATACAAATGAATTGCTGATTTAGGTGTTTTTTTAAAAAAAGTTTGTTTATGGGAAGAAAGGAACTATGGCAGAATGTAGATGGTAATTGGTACGTTAGTGGTGCTGCAAAGATTGCAAGTCGCCTCTGTAAATATCTTTCTTGCTCTTTTGTTATTCACCATTTTTTTTACCATGTTGTGATCTTTTTCTATTTCTTCTTTGTTTCTGCGGTTCTATAACTTCATAAAATTTTCTTTTAGGTGATATTTCAGAGCTCAGGCTAGCATTTTCATTTATTTCGCATCTCAGGGGGAAAGCAATCTGAGAGCAGGTCAGGGAGGATGCACGAAGCATCAGTTGGGATGCAGAACTGGAATGGAAAATGCTACTTAGCAGCTGCAAACCAGTGGAAGATGCTGCAATTGTTGTTGCACAACTCTGCGAGGAAGTGAGCCAGGAAATGAAATTAACCGCTGTGGGATCTTTACAGGTCTACTATTTAACTGACAAGCACAGAAGTGTGAACTATTATATTTCAAATGCATCCTCAAGGTGATTGGAAAACTTGGCAGACCTCAGTGTGAATGCTGGAATGCAGGAGGGTTAGTTTGGAAGATGTTCATGGCTGACATTCTCAGGCTTTGCGAATGTAAATCAAAAAGCACAAAGAATCAGTGGGGACTGATCACATAATATGCTTCTCCGTCTACTGGATGTATTGTTGTCTGTGCATCAGTCTCAATTCCTATGAAGTTGGTGGAGAGCCTGGAGTGTTTTTATAGCTGCAGGCAAATCTAGGTCCCCAATCTAGCTTTCCAAACAATGATGAAAGGATTGTCTTTCTGTTCCCTTTGTTCTCAGGAAAAGATATGGTTCTGTAAGGGTATAAATGATGTATGAAATATAAAGAAAAGCCTAGCCCCAAATGAACAGAGTAAAGGAAGCACTTAATGCTTTAATGTGTTATTTATCTATTTGTTAATTGGCACTGTCTTTAGACAAATTGCCTTTGTGAAGCAAAAACAAAACCTCAAGAGCCTAATAAATAATTTATTATTTCACCCACATCTTTTCTTCTCAAGCAGATGCATGTTCTCTTTCCATCACATCAGATTTGCTTGTGTGTATGTGTGTGTGTGCGTGTGTGCATGTGTGCGTGCGCGTGCGTTTGTGCCTTCTCGAGAGTCCCTTCTTTTTATCCATCTGACATATTTCTTCTTTGTTGATGTGGTGAAATGAAAAGTTGTGGGAGAAAGACGCTCAAAATGTTTTGTCTCTGGAGACGAAATATTGAGAGGAACTCCAGAACATTCTGTTCTTCCTGAATACAACATCAGGATAGCCATTCTGGGGTGGTCCAGCAATTTTCCAGAAGTAAAGCTTTCCAGAAGAGGAAGTGGTTTTTGACATGAGCAATTACTTTCATGGCACACAAAATTATTTGACTGGGTTTGGAAAACACACTAACCCGTGGTTAATTGAAACTATACCATATTGAATGAACCCGATTCCCTGAGTTTTCATACAGCACACAACTGAATACAGACTATAGTGAGCCACAAACTAACAAAGCACATCTCATCTTGATCTGGTATTACAAAGCCAGCACTGATTACAATGTGAGAAGAAAGCAATAAAATTAGCCTTTCTAAACCTCGAGAAGTTCTCCATCCATGTTATTATTTTTCAGCACATAAGGAAAACCAATTACTGCCAAGTTGTTGGAAATACTGTGAATTGAATCTTGGATCTTTTGCACAGGGAAAATGTCAACTAAGATGCTCAGAGGATGAGAATGGTGTGGTTTAGCTAGCTTACAATGGGAGGTAGGCCTCCCATAAGCTTGTAGAAAGCTTGTAGCACTGGAAAGCATGACTGGTGACATGGGTCTGATGAAAAGCATGTCCAATTCGTTGCAACTTTACATGAATGTATAGGATACAATGGTCCTTACATTCAAGGAACAAAAGTTGAGGGATAGCCCTGCAAAACTTAGTGTTGACAGGAGATGATGATGATGATGATGATGATGATGATGATGATGATGATGATGATGATGATAGGAGCAGTAGCATTTTGGTCTTAAACATTTGAAATGCCTTAACTGGAATTAAGTAAGTGTCTCAGAGTGTTCTGTTTCAAGAGTAACTCTTTTTATTTGATTCTAAATTACTTATCAGAGAACCAATTGATGTAGTGGTTGTGGTGTCAGATCTAAACAAGGAAATAATGAATTCTAACCTGCTTTGGGCACAAAGCCAGCTACTGTAGGTGATCTTGAGCCAGTCACTCATTCTCAGCCCTAAGAAACAGGCAATGGCAAGCCACTTCTGAAAAACCTTGCCAAGAAAATTTCAGGGACTTGTCAAGACAGTTACTGTCAACACTGACTCAAAGGCACTGATAAATAAATAAAAATACTAACTGGTTTAATGATACCATTTAAATCCTGCCAAGTGATCCTCTTTCTACATTCACCTCTTTCTAGCTCTCAGAGTTCTCTAAAATATACTAACAAAATATAGTATATAATAGGGCAAGAAATGAGGATTCAAGGCAGCATTTATAGAAGCAAAATTAATGAACAAAAATTATATATAAATTATATAAAAAACTATATAATCAAAGTGGACTTTGTGGATTTCACCTTCACTTCTAGAAGGTGATTTGTGATTTGTACAAATTTAATAATTGGTATAAGGCA